TGTCGCCGGTCACATGCTTGGTGAACACATCGGCGGGCATGATGTTGGTCGGGAGGTAGGTGAGCTTGAACTTGCCAGCGCGTACCAAGTCGCGGAGGAAGTAGAAGCGCAGCGCCAAATGCTTGGTACGCTGTACGCTGGATTGGTTGGAGCCGATGGCGATAGCGCTTTGGTTGTCGAGGTAGAGGGTGACGGTCTTGCCGTTAGCCTTGAGTCCGAGCTCGTTCATGAGATTGTCGAGGTGCATCCCGTGCTGGGCGCCGAGGCATGCGCCGACGTATTCCGCCTCAGTGGAAGACAAAGTCACGAGTGCTTGTAGCTTCGATCGCCATGAGATTGGCCCACACGCGAGCATCCACAGATAGCCACAGGTAGAGAGTCCTGTAGATCTGTCGTCGGCCCACGAGGAATCTGAGAAGCCGATAAGCTCGCTGCTGCCGGCTGGTTGGCCGTGGTACGTGATTCCAATGTCCTTGGTGTGTAGAAGGTAGGCGACTGTGCGCTTGGCCATGAGCATGTGCATGTAGTGCGGTGTCGACAGGTGGCGGGAGAGCTGCGTCACCGCGTGCACGATATCGGGACGCGTAGACATGGCGCAGTATAGTAGGGAACCGACGATCTGCCGGAACGGTTTGTCGTCGTCCAGTGGTAGGCCAGCGTCTTCGGTCATGCGGGTGCCGGCTGGTATAGCGTGTCAACGCGCTTGCTCTTGTCCATGCCGTACTTGACGGCCATTCGCTCGATGTACGTTCTCTGAGTGATGTATATTGACTTGTCGCCTTCGTTGCGGTCGATATCCATTCCGTCCTGGTCGATGGGGTGTTGCCACGGCACCTTGGTCGCAACCCCGTCGTGTGCCTTCCGTCCGCATTGTCTTGTGCGGTGATTGTCCGCGGTCGCTCGCCTTCCGCTCTGGCTGTGCGATCGTGGCGCTTGCACGGATCTTGTTCCTCGACGCCGATCGCTTGGATTCGACGGCGGTGGCCCGTGCTTCATGTCTGGCGGCGTCCAAGCCGTCCATGGCTGTTTGCTTTGTGCGACCCGGTGACGTTGACTGTTTCTTGGTCGAAGGTCGGTGCGATTGGTCCCAACGTGATTCTCGCGGTTCTTCTTCGTGAGTTGGCGCGGCCGCGACCACTGGCGTGTCGCCTGTTGTGGTGACTCTGCGACTGTTACGCGTGTCATGTCTTGTGATTTGGGGCGGGTAATGCGCGAAGGGTTGGCCCATCAGGCGGGCCGGGCTGGTCTTGCGGTCTGAAGGGCTCTTGCCGCGCTCCGAAGTCGTGTCGCTAGCCGAGTACTGCGGCAGTAGTGATGTGTCGGCTGGGTTCATGTCGACGTCTTCCTTGGTAGCCTGCGTCGTGGCGCCGCGTCTGCCGTCACGTTGGTCATCGCCGTCTTCGACAAACACGGTGCGTGGGCGGTGGAACTCAGTTTCCTTGAAGGTGCAGTCCACTGTGAAAACCGTCTTCTTGTCTTCTAAGTCGTATACCTTGTAGGCCTTCTTAACTTCACTGTAGCCTAGGAAGATGCATAGATTTGCCCTCGACGCTGTCTTGTCTTGCGTCTCGTTGCGGCGCCATGCCACGCAGCCGAAGACCTTGAGTGACGAGATCTTGGGCTTGGTCCCGCGGATCAGCTCGTGCGGTGTCACGCTGGCTGTTTTACCGTTCGGTGTCCGGTTTCTCAGGAAGGCTGCCGTGTTCACGGCTTCGGCCCACCAGTGCTTGGCCACGTTGGCGTGGAGCAACATCGTGCGCCCCATCTCCACCAGCGTGCGGTTCATTCGCTCAGCCGTGCCGTTCTGCCATTGGCGCCTTGGAGTGCTGACTTCGTGGTGGATACCGCGTTCCTTGAGGTAGGCTTCCATCTTGTCGCTGACGTACTCGCCACCGCCATCTGTGCGCAGTGTCTTCAGTTGCACGCCAGTCTGGCGCTCGAGCCAATGTACCTATTTCATGACTGCCTCGTAAGCATCGCTCTTCTGGGATAGGAACTTGACCCACACGTAGTTGGTGGCGTCTTCCGTGAAGGCGATTAAGTACATGGCGCCGTTGGGCGAGGCGGTCTTGGCTGGGCCCCATAGGTCGGTGTGGACGCAGGTGCCGAGCGAGTGTTGTGGGCGGTCACCCGTCTTGGGCACGGAGGTATGTTGTATCTTGCCTCTGATGCAGTCTTCACATGTGATTGTCTTGGGTAGGACCGTTGGGCCGCCGGTGGATGCCTTGCTCGCTGCCGCCATCGAGCCAGCAGGGATATGTCCCATACGAGCGTGCCAGAGCATGGCATCGACTGCCTCTGCCATGTTGGCCTCGTCATCCATACCGCGGAGGATGAACTTTCCTTGGATTGCATACAGGTGCGAGTCGTTCCACCGAGCCGTAATGGACAACTTGTTCTTGTTTCGTAGCTGGCAGTGATCCTTCTTGAAGACAAGCGAGGCGTCGTTCGATTGGCGGTTGATTCGGCTGATAGACATGAGTGTCTTCTTGAGGGTCGGTACGTAAAGGACGTTCTTGAACGTTGCCGTGCGTCCTGTTTCATCTGACTTGATCTTCAGGTCACCCATTGCCGTCACGGGAATGGGGTGGCCGTCGGCTAGGCGGACGCCACGGGCACAGGCCACGACGGAGTGCAGCAAGTCGATGTCGCCTGTCATGTGCGCGGTGGCGCCGCTGTCGATGATGGCTTCACGCACGTACGTCGCCGCGGCGTTGCACTCGTCGGTTTTGTCCGTCGCATACTGACACAGCTCTGTGGAGACATCGTCGGTTTCGGGATCGATGGCCGGGTCTACGTCTATCTGCCACCATGTGTCCTCGTCATCCGGACAGCTAGTCACAGGTAGGTCTTCTCCAATCATAAAGATATCTTCCATTTCGTCTTCTTCGGCGTAGTTGCCATGCTCTGCGCCACGCCAGTTCGGGCGGCCTCCGCCGCGATCATTTCCGCTGTTGCGTCCACGTCCTCGTCCGCTGAAGCGGCCGCCGTCGTAGCTGCCACCTCCGCCACCATTGCCTTGTGGCTTGTCCCGCACGTTGCGCCGCTGGACGCCTTTGGCTTCGTCGTTTTGTCGGCGGCGGCACTCGCTGCGGAAGTGGCCGGCCTTGTGACAGTAGTGGCATTCGCCGTTGACCGTCGCGTTGAGCGCGTCGTCCGATCTGTCGGCGTTTTTGCGTAGACTTGGGTTGCTGAGCTGCTGACGTTCGTCATCTAACTTGAGCCCTTCTAGGACGGACCGCATCGTGGCGAACTTGGTCGTGTCGCGGCTCTCGCGCGTAATATAGCTTACGGTGTTCGCGAAGCGCGGTGGCAGTAGGCACAGGAACCGGCTGACGTGCGACCATTCTTGGGTGTCGTCCCCTGCGGCGGTGATCTTGCGCGTGAGTTCTTGGAACTGGTCAGGGAAGGACTCGAGACCGATCTGTTCGCTCCAATCGAGCTTGTACAGTACTGTACATTTTCATTTACAGGGTCACCATGCTGACTTCTAACGTGTTCTCGTAGATGTCCTTGAGCGCGTTCCATGTGTTGTACGTCGTCTCTACATGTTGGATGTACTTGTGATGGTCGTTGTGAACGGACAGCTGGATGTAGGACAGCGCCACCAGGTCGTCGTCCATTTCCAGGCCCGACTTCTACTTGCCGTCCGGGTCGTAGCACGGCTGCAGGTACTTACCCACCTTCTGTTGGTTGATCTTGGCTCGCGTCTTAACGCACCACTCACGATAGTTGGAGCCGTCGGCGTTTAGCTTGTTTGGTTGCTCATGCATGTAGTGTTCTGTCATTGGGCTCATAACCTATTGACTTTGCTTGCAGGTCTTGGTCGACGTATGCCGCGATAGGGACGAAAGAGTAGGAGGAAGTACGGGTTTACAAGTGAGTTATTAAGGGTTAAGTTTAACCGCTGTCATAGTTACTACTTATTCGAACCCCCTACTTGTTTATGCGACCATGCGGAAAAGTCCACTCCAACGAAGCTACTCGCCCCATGACCTGAACAGATTGCATTCGATGTGGCACTTCAGTGCTGGTCGTTTCCAGTATTCAGTTGACACACATGGACAAGCACACAAGGCGACCCCTTCCTTCTGCCGACACTCATCAGGCCTTCTCGTTCGTAAGGCACCTGGACGATTCAGATTTTGATGAGCGAAGAGCTATTCCCTCGAAGCAACACCGAAGGTGTTCCTCCATAATCATGGATATGAGGGAAATACTGGATTTACTGTTAACGCGATAATTAGGTTTCGAGTTTACAGTTTGCTGGTCAGCCACCAACGATGAAATTTTGATGAGCGAAGACCTATTCCCTCGAAGCAACACCGGAGGTGTTCCTGCATAATCATGGATTTACTGTTTACGCGATAATTAGGTCTCGAGTTTACAGTTTGGTGGTCAGGAAACTGTAAACTGGAGAGCCACCAACGATAAAATTGTACGAATGTTTCAAACATTATTAAATCATCACGTTTAAGGTGCAACGATCTCCTGGTCATTGTGGCCTCCAATGCGAAATCTCAACTGTTGCAAATCGATTTCGCGTAGCGACTTGATCCCGTTAGTGTTGCACTCAGAAAATCCCGTTAACCGTTGCGAATAAATTTGGGTACATCCTCCGGACAGAAGATAAATTCAAACCGGCGGAAGTAACCTACACCCACAGTTTTAGGTAAAATATTAATCGAATTCAAACTGCGAAAAGTGTTCCTACACCCACGGCTTTCGGTAACATCTTGATCGCCCAACGGATTCGCATAAGTGCAATCGAATTAGTCGAGTGTATCTGCGGGAATGTCGTAGAAACGTTCGGTATAAGGGAACAGTAGAGGTATACTAGTAGGCTGTACCTGCGAGAGAGTATGTATGATAATTAGACATTCGCGTTTGGTTCAGATAATTCACACCTTTGACTTGGACCACAAAGGCATATTTTGACTTTTCAGTTTTTGACTGTATATATGATCTTGATTAACGGTAAAATATGCAGTATTGCCCCTATTTTCATCTTGATTAGTATGCAAAATTATCTTGACCTCGATGTTTATCTTGATTAAACTATGCCACATATTTTAGGCTTCGGACGGACAATTAACTGGAATAGCTTACTACTAGTATTTTACTAGTACTTCGAAGCAGTACAGTTATGCCATCTGGATACACCTTTCCGCCCGTAGCCCTGTAACGTTGGGTTGGGACTCCGGCGAGTACATACGATGCTAAATCCCAGGGTTTAGCTGCATCGCTATGTAGTGGTTTGCTATTGCTAACAACTGAGATGCACTTAACCCCTACCGTAGTAAGTACTATAAGTGGTGAGGTTTTGCTATCGCTAACCACTGAGATGCACTTATTTATAACCCCTACCGTAGTAAGTGAGGCAGTCCGAGCATACGATGCTCCCTCCATAGGTATAAACACTCAAATCGCAGTCTTCTCAGAGAAAAATAACAGTGGAACTGTTTAAATATAGTACAGTTAATGAACTACTGTTGTAGTACAATTAATGAGAGAATTTTCAGTTACCGGGTACTATACCAACGACAGCCGATGGGACATGATCGGCGTTTGTCGTGTCCGTTCCACAGTTCTGTGCAAGTTGAACCTGATGAGTTTCCTTGACTAATCACATTTTGTGCAGATCTGAGATCACCACCAAGTTCCTGTTCA